ATCGTAATGGACAATAGGACCAACCTCAATAGCAAGCAAGTGAAAGAGCTGCTGGAAGAATATGGAATCAACCAGAAGTTAGCAGCAATTAGTCATCCCCAGGCTAATGGTCAAGCCGAAATCACAAACAGGACCATATATGCCTGCATGAAGAAAGAGCTGGAAAATGAAAAAGGAAAATGGTTAGATGAGCTTCCGAACGTCTTGTGGGCTTACAGAACAACCCCAAGACGGCCGACCGGAGAAAGCCCATTCACTATGACATACGGCACCGAGGCGGTGATACTAGTCGAACACTTGATTCCAACTATAAGAAGCTTGGCATGGGATCAAGAGCAGAATGATAGAATGCAAAGGTTTAATCTCGATTTGCTGGAGGAAAAAAGGGATGCGGCTGCAGTAAGGCTTGCCTCTTATCAATAGACGCTCGTGAATAGCCATAACAAGAAGGTAAGGCACAGAGACTTCGCTTTTGGCGATCTGGTTCTGAAAAGGAAGGTGGGGATAGTAAAAAAGATGTTCTCCCCATGGGAAGGTGCATATAGAATTACAGAGGTCATAGGAAAGGGGGCGTACATCCTGGAAACTATGGCAGGAAGGGTGGTCAATAAGCCATGGAATGCTACGTCCTTGAAAAGGTACTACCAGTAGAAGTAGGGTTTAATTTCAAACAATATACGCGCTTTAAATTGCATACTTACAAGTGTACGAAATTCCCAAGTTTTATAAAAAGTGTTTTCTTTGCTCAAAAATCAATTGACATCCTTCCCATTCAGCAAAGTTAGTGGCAGCTGGCACTACGAGCCGAACGCCAAACACTTGCTCAATATAGAATTAAGCCAAGTGGCAAGTGCCGTTCAAGCCGAGCGCTAGACATTCAGCAAAGTTAGTGGCAGCTGGCACTATGAGCCGAACGCCAAACACTTGCTCAAAAATAGAATAAAGCCAAGTGGCAAGTGGCGTTCAAGCCGAGCGCCAGGCATTCAGCAAACACTTGCTCAAAAATATAATAAAGCCAAGTGGCAAGTAGCGTTTAAGCCGAGTGCCAGGCATTCAGCAAAGTTAGTGGCAGCTGGCACTACGAGCCGAACGCCAAACATTTATGAAAACATACAACAAGGTTGAAAATTGAAAACTTGAAGAATGGAAGTCATGCTGAACAAAAGCATTGTCATTCATTACAAAAGGATCCTGAGGTATATAACTTGATGATCTAAGGATACATGAAGATACATTAAAAAAAAAAAAAACTGCAGAATATCAGTTCTCATGATCTTCTCCAGGCTGTGACTTGTCGTTCTCCCCACCATTACCCTCTGGACCATTGAGATCTTCTCCATTCTCAGATGCCCTATCATCCATAGGAAGAGTCAAGGTGAATCACCCCCTTAGCTAGCATAAGTCTGTCAGTAACAACTGAGGAAGAGGGCACGATAGTAGACATGGGAGGAATATTCAGAGGGTGGAAGAGTGGGACAATTCCTGAAGATGCAACCTCTCTGCACTCTATGAAGATATTCTCAGCAGGGTCACAGGGTGGATTTTGATAATTGTTTGGGGGGTGGATATCCAAAGAAGCATCTAATTCATCTGGACTAGCACAAGAGCTTGATTCGCCTTCAGGGGAAGAACGGTCAATAAAACCATCTCTGTACCCTTCAGCATACAGGATGGCATTGGTTCTGGTGAAGCGAGCAAGGAGAGCTTTCATACCCCCTTCAACTTTGCTAATCATGTTCAGCAAAGAAGAGCGCTCGCTTAAGAGCTTCTCCTGTAAGTTGGCATGAGACAACCGATCAGTAATAAGTGAACGCTGAAGGTCTCCCTTTTCAGCTTTGAGTGAGTCCCTTTCAGTCAGAGCAACGCTCTTCTCAGTCTTCAAGACATCAACCTCATCCTGAAGAGAATCCCGTTCGGCCTTCAGAGTATCCCGTTCGGCTCTGAGGGTGTCCCTCTCATTTGCTAGACCGTCCTTCTCTGCCTTTAAGTCAGCAACCACCTACTCTGACTCGCTCAGCTTAGACTCAAGCTCAGCAACTTTGACCTCAAGGCGGCTCTCTGCTTCAACGGACCTTTTAAGGCCTATAGAGAGGGACTTAAGTTTTTTGTTCAGAGTCTCAATAGTTTTTTGGAAGGTAAACATCCCGAATAGAGTCTGCGTAAAGGAAGGAAAATTCAGGTCAGACTAGCTACTAAAGAGTTATAGCAGAAAGGAAATATATTTCAATAAAAAGAGGAGTTACCTCCATGGCAGCAGCCCGCTGGAACATCTCGCCAAAAGATTGCTAGTTCTGAATCTCAAGGTCCTTGGGGGTCCAGAAACCCTTGTAGAAAGCAAAGGAGGTGATGGGGTCCTTATACATAGAGTCGGTGGGGCCAATGGTCGAGCCATCTTCACGGCTGAGCAAAGGTCGCCATGGAAGAACGGATGGAGTTGGACCAGAGGTTCTGGCTGATTCGCCCTCTGGAATGAAGAACCGGGCAGGGGGTAATGGTTCAGTAACCCTAAAAGAAGCCATCTTGGTCCTCCGGGCTGGTGGGACATCATTCCGGTCATGACCATCCTCAGGTATTGGCCTTTTTCCCAAACTTTTTTCTAACAGACCAGCACTAGCTGGTCCTCCATTGTCCTGAGAATTTCCAGCATCCTGAGTGCTCTCTGAGGAAGTACCAGACAAGATGTCGGAAGGCATAATGATGGGAGCAGCAGGACGGATTTCAGCTGTGTGATCCACAACAGAGTGAGCTCAGAAAGCTCAACAACAGAATGATTTGTGACTTGAGTCACAGTTGGAGCAACCACAACTTGTTCTGGGGCAGAAACAGCAAGGGTGGACGATGTGGTAGCAGGTGTAGATGATGACATGGTAGCAGGAGCGTTAGAAGGGTGGGAGCAGAACGCCTCCTCCTGTTGAAAGATGGGATCTGAATGCTCTCCATTGTGGACCCTAAAAAAGAGATGTCAGAGAGATTGTCAGATGTAAGCAAATCAGTAGCTGAAGGGACGTTGTTCAGCACACTCTCTTGCAAGATGTCTAGCCTAGCCCTGCAGACGCTATAAACCAGTTCATCATGGGGAATTAGAAGGCATCTACAAAGAAAAGTGCAAAAACGGGGAAGACAACTTTCACAATGGTATTCAGTAGGATGTGTTTTCAGTTTTTTGTAGCCAGAGACAGAGCATGCTACAAAGGACAAAAGGGATAGAGAAAGATTGACTGAGCGGAGTCCGCCAATTCCCACTAACCACAATTAAGTTTTGTCTCCAACCTTTTTTAAATGAGTTCTTATCAGTACATATCGACCGTTTGTCAATAGGGAAGAAGTGATAGTATAAATCATTTTGTGTAATTTTATTAATCCGGTAGCAGAGGAGAAGGTCGATGATGTCAAGGTTAAGACCCCTGTCACGATTCAAGAGCAGGAGGACTGAAATTACCCTAAGAAAGTTGGGGTTAACCTGCAGGGGGCAGAGCCCCAATTTGTTGAAAACATAACAAAAGAATGGGTGTAAGGGGAACCTAATGACGTTCAAATGAACGGCAGAGAATAAAACTTCCCAAGGAAGGAGACCATCGCCAGATCTCCCATCTAAGTTTATTGGATAGACCCTGAGAGAAACGTCATTAGGAATGCTGTTCTTGGATCGGATGGCGTTTAGATTAGGGGGAGCCATAGAGAAGGGGAGGAATCCTAGGCAATAAAGGTGTCTTTTTCAAAGAGAGGTAAAAAAAAAAAAAAAAAAAAAAAAAAAAAAAAAAAAAAAAAAAAAAAAAACTGACCTTGGAAGTTTGTGATGAACACAGCCACAGCACAATAGCCAAAATCGTAAAGGAAAAACTTGCCGGAGAAGTTGAAGAAGGATCGCCGGAGTGTACAGGAAGGCAGCGGAGAGTAAAAGCGGGGTATGAAAAAGAAAGATAAAAGTTGAAAGATCGGGGTTTATAAGGAGAAAAGGTGAAGGCGACATGGAACTCAAAAGGTCAAGGCAAAAAGTGGCGATGCAGATCTCGAAGTTTGGGTTTTTGTGCCAGCCGTTCCATTCCTCGTGTCATCACTCTGAGCCGTCAGACCAAGATTGTGTCTTTTCAATAATCTCACCTTTATTAATGAGGGGAGAGATTATTGGGAGCAGATGAGGACACCAAAGTGACCCGGGCTTGGTAGGATCCGTACTGTTAAGAACGGGTCAGGCATGAATAGCCAGGATGGAGCAAGTCCACGCTGGATGGGCCCAGATCTATGAAGTCATTGCGGAAGCCTGTATTAAGATGAGAGAAATTGAGTCTAGGTGAAAGAGAAAAAGTAAGGCTCAGGTCAGAGGAGATTATAACCGTCTATAAATAAGTAAAATTGAGAGGGAAAAGTGGTTAAAAATCATTGGGAGTTTTAAATTTATCTCTATGCAATTGGGGGAAATTCTTTGTACTTTCAACTACAAATTTCATTTTAAAATCAGTAAAATTGTTTGGTCAACCATCTACAATGTAGCATAAAATAAGGAGAGAGAGAGAGAGAGAGAAAAAAAAAAAAAAAAAAAAACCTGAAACCAGCTGTTGAGTGCCGGATGTGCATATATTATACTAGTAAATAGGTGGCGTACTGATCTGACAACTGTTTTTTTTTTTTTTTTGTGTCAGAATACAATGGCTTACCTGATTCTGACGTCACTGAATACGCATGCTGTTTTATTTATTTAATTTATTTATTAGAGTCACATCATCTTCATATATATAAGTTAATTTCATCTCTTTAAGAATTATATAGAAGTCAAGCGTCCAATTAATTAATAAAAAAATACTAATTAATTCTATCTTTTATTGCAAAGACAATTTTCTATTTACTTTTGTGAATATAATAAAGTAGATCCTAGCTTCCATAAAGAAAATGGAGTAGTTTGAATTGAGTTGCTAGGCATGGAAATTAATTAACCAGAGTCAGTGCCCTGAGCCCATAAGCATTTTCAAGCCTCATTCATCTGAAGCATAAGATTTATATACATGGCAGCGGAGCAGCCTAAAGAATTCCTTTCCAGCGAAGACCATGCCAGGTGAACGAATTAATTCTTGAAAAATACATAATTAATAGTTTCAAGAATTAAGACGATCCAATTAGTCCGTGTCTGAATATATACATATATATTCTTCATATGTATAATTAATTAAATCCTTCTCATATTTGTTTCTGATGATCATATATAATAACTTTGCAGCACGAACAAGGTAACAGAAGGTGCAATCAGTTTTCACGAGTACAAAAGAAGAATAGAGAATCACTTTTTGGAAGAAGAAAAAAATAATAAAATCACACCACATGAACGTTGGAAAAAATGCATTAAAGCGACCCTTGGTGTACTGAAGCACAGACCATCGAGCTTTGCTATCTACAGGGTTCCAACCAAACTACGAAAAATCAATGAAGATGCATATAGCCCTCGTATGGTCTCAATTGGACCTTTTCACCATGGCAGAAATGATCTGCTGAAAATGGAAGAGCACAAGTGGCGTTACATGCTTTTCCTTCTTGCACGGACATCTGATCGGGTCAAGGCAGTGGACAAGTGTGGGGAAGTAATAGGAAGCTTACAGCAAAGAGTTCCCGGATGCTATGCCGAAGACCTCAACATGACGCGGGAAGAGCTGATGGAAATTTTACTAGTGGATGGCTGCTTCATACTTGAACTTTTTCTCAGGTATCCGGATACAAATTTTAGGCAAAGCAGCGATGAAATAATCAGTAGTGCTTGGATGATTTCAACCATAAAACATGATTTGGCACTACTCGAGAACCAGATCCTCTTCTTTGTCATCAATGATTTATTTAGAATTGTAGAGTCGTTTATTGGCGAACCCTTTCCATACTCACTCACTCAGTATGCTCTATGTTTCTTCGACTTGGCTTTGAATTCGATGGTACTGGCAGTGCCAAACAATCACCTAGGCATTTACTCGAAATGTTGCATATCTTCTACCGCCCACCATTTTCAGACACCCACACAAAAGTCGATCATGATGACACTTTGGGATTCAAACATCGTGCAACAAATCTCTTAGAGGCCGGAATTGAGATTGAAAAGGCCAGCACAAACAGTTGTGGTTTATTGGAAATAACATTCAATGACGGAGTGATTCAATTCCCAGCATTGTCTATTGACGAAACAATGGAGACAATATTTAGGAACCTCATTGCTTTTGAGCAATGCAGCGTGGATGGTATGCATTACATTACATCATATGTCATGCTCATCAAACGTCTCATACATTCACCACAAGATAGAGATCGAGTTGTTAGAGGAGAAAGGTATCATAACAAACACATTATTGAGTAGTGGTAAAGATGCTTCTACTTTCTTCAATAGCATCTGCAGTGAAGTGATTGCTCCGAAAGATTTCTACCTTGCCAAGATATGTGAGGATGTGAATAAATACACCAATTCCTGGTGGCACTTCCGCAGAATTAAAGCTTACTTGAGTGTTCTTGGGCGAAAATGTATGGATTCGTTAAAAAATAATTATTTCCCAAATCCGTGGAGTTTCATATCGTTCGCTGCTGCTGTTGTGCTCATAGTTCTCACTGCCTTGCAGACCATATACACCATGCGATCCTAGTATAATCTTTGCTTCCTTTTGTAATTTTGGTTAATTTCTTTTAAATAATTGTAATTGAGATAATTTTTTATACGGTTTGGTTTTTATCCTGCATTACTTTAAGATGTTTGATATCGGAAAAATTACAAATACATGAACATATAGCAAATTGCAGTGGACTTCATTATATAAGTGTGTATGGGATCCGTTTACTTGGGCCTCATGTTATGTGGAGTAGTATTTGGTTTTCGAAATTTATATTTATTTTAGTAGGGATTTACTTGTACGGTCGGCAGAACTAAAATGCAGTTGCTATATTGACCATTAATAAACCTCTAGAACCGAAGTGTCCGTACAGGTATATATTGAAGTTTCAGTACTTGACATTATTTGGCATCTGCCATTCTTACATCAGTTGGCTTTGATTTCATGCACATTGGTTGAGAACTGAATTTTTATGAAATTTAGAAATGAAATACATTATGCTGAAAAACAACATATATGTGCTACCATGTACATGTAGTTGTGAATTGAGTGGATTTCTTACATTTATTTGAGCGTGTGATATACATGCTTAAGGTGAGTTCGGTTGTGGTAGAATCTTATGGAAATGTGAAAGATTGAATGTATATAGGCTATCAGCCTATCGCACCGGATTAATTTACCCACCCCAATATTTTTTAGATACAAAGCACAATAAGGCGGTGCTTGCTTAGGATTCTTACGAACAGTGAAGTGTGTTTATTTGGTTTTTCATATCCTTAAATGTACTTGGAAAATGTTTAGCCTTATGATGATCATATATGTAACTAATACTTGTAAATGTCTTTTGTCGTCTAAAAATAATCTAAGGAAAATGATTCACCTACTTATTTTAATTAGTTTATTTATATAATAAGGGAGTGAGACCCTCCACTTATTTATATTGTACATAAATAACTAATCAAAAACTTTCGATTAGATAATTCGCTTCAACAAATCAGTGTAATTATCCTAAACATTAAAAGCTATAAAATTATCTAAATAAAAACAATTGCCTAAAATATGGAGCATCTTTCTCATAATGTAATTCTAAACTTCATTCAAAGATGTACTTAGCTAAAAATTTACCATTTAAAGTGTTCTTATTTTATTTTATTTTTGAATTACCAAACATATTTAAAATTACAATTTTATAGCAAAAGGGTTGATTAGTGTTTCAACAGCAATTCCAAATTCATTAACCAGACTTGTCCAGAAAAGTTTATTAAAAAAAAAATAAAAAATAAAAATCCTTAGAGAAAATATTATACAAAATAATGTCCGTTGACGCACTAAGTCTCGAGCTTAGTTGACAGCGGCCTAGGACATGGGTTTAAGTTGATAGTGACAAGTCACAAGTGACACGAGTTTATGTAACGTGGTTCACTTGACTCCATTTAAAAGAAAAAAAAACATTTGCTAAAGACTTTGAAGCTTTCAAAGGTTTAACACAAACCCAAATTACCTTTTTTTTTTTCTCAATTGACAACAGCATGCAAATATAATAAAGACTAATAATAGCGATCCAATTATCAAGGAGGTTCCTTGTGCTTAGGGATGGCAATGGGGCGTAGTTGGGATGGAGTTGGCTAAACTCTATTCCGCCCTATTAAAAAATTCGTTATACCAACTCTGCTCCAACTTCGAGACAGGTTTATAATTGGTATACCATCCTCGCCCCTACTCCGCTAGACAAAATACCAACTCCGCCCCGCATACTCCATTTAATTGCAGTAAAGTTGAAACTGTTGAATTAATTCCTGAACTTGGGATAGAATACTAAGATCTTGAATCTTTGAAGATTGAATCACGTGCACAATTGTAGAATTTTAGTAAGTAGTAATTCTAGCGCATATTTAGTCAAAATATATTAATGGACACTTAAATTAAATATATACTTTTTATATATATATATATATATAATCGGGGTCGGGGCGGGGTGAGGTGGGGGCATCACTAAATCCGCCCCCGCCCCCGCCCCCACCCCCACCCCAAACCCGTTTCGGGTTTTTAATTTTTTTACCATATCCGTCCCAAATTCATTTATGGAGCTTCCAAATTCGCCCCATTAGGAGCGGAGCGGGGCGAAATCCTAGCGGGTTGGAGGAAATTGCCATCCCTACTCGTGCTGACATACACATTTCGATATGCTGGATAAAATTATATTTTAACTGATATTTAGGATTGTTAATTGGAATATTTAGCGTTTGACTAATAAAATAATAATAATAATAATAATAATAAACAAAATTTATCGATCTGATATCAAAATTTGATCGTGGATTTAAATAATTGGAACTATTGTTTTGTTGTTGATTTCAAAATTTCCTAGTAATGGTTTAATATGCTCCAAAAAGCAATTTTTACAAAAAAAAAATAAAAAAAATAAATAAATATAAAATAAGGGATTTGGTTAATCTCTATAGAGGGTTTCCTTCATTAAAATGATAGCCAAGCTCCGTCTTTTCTTGTAAAAAATAGTAGAAAATTTCAGGTTCCTACGCGGTTAGTTTTTCGGTACGCTGTAATAAAATGTACTCCATCTGTCCCAATATACATGTGGGGGAAATTCAACTACTTTTTATGATAGTAGAGTTTTAATAGTCTTTTATTGTATTAATAAGAGTAAAGTTTTAAATATGTCATTATTAAAACACAAAATAGTACTTATAATTAGTGCACTTGTTGAGTGAAAAAGATAATATAGAAATATTATACAAAATAATACATTTAATTTTGGAATAAATTGGATATCCAAAATAAAAAGATGATCAAATATTTTAGAACGAAAGGAGTAATAAAATGGTACAGGTTCTTTTTTGAAAAACAAAAAATGAAATAATACATATATGGTAAGCTACAACTACGTAAAAATTAATAAGCATTGCAACAAAATATTAAAGCCACCACCAAGTGAAAATTAATGACCATAGCTACAAAATATTAAAATGTCCATTCTCCTTCAAGAGTTCCATGCAGTCATTCAAAGAACCAAACACAGAAATAGGGTTTGTTATATCATTGATACGTCAGTGCATGACCGCAAACAAAAAAACAAAATTTGAAAAAACACAAAGTGATAGTATATATAGATGAACCTATACATAGTTCAAACTCAAAAACCTGAAATTTGAACAAACACAAAGCTGAGTTGATGGCGAATGGTAAAAGTTCTGGCGCTGCAGCCCAAAAAGAAGATATATCTCAACTATTGAGGAACTTGCAGATAAATATCGACACCAACGAAGAAAATATAATGGCTCTGAAGCGTTTCAGGGAGCAGGAAAAGCTCCCCCACATTCACAGGGTTCCAGACGTGTTTCACAGAATGAACGAACGTGCTTATACTCCCAGCGTTGTAGCTATTGGGCCTCTTCACAGGGAAGAAACATCTGCAAGCAATGGAGGGCGAGAAACTTAGCTACATGCAAAACTTAGCTACATGCATTTCTTATTTGGTCGAACAAGAAAGTTTGAGCAAACACGAAATGAGTATGTGGTTGCCATGTTAAATTAAGCTGGAATCGTCTGCTCGGGCATGCTATGCAGAAAAATGCTGTGAAGAAAAGGTCTGGTTTGAGGAAATGATGCTTATTGATGGTTGCTTTATGATTGAATATTTTTACAGCTGGAGGTGTCAGAAAGAGAATGACCCCATTGCGGTGAACACTTTCAAACACTTTGCCGTCGAACAAGACTTGTTTCAGCTCGAGAACCAGCTTCCCTTTGTTGTTCTTGAGGAATTGTTCCGCCTCACATTGAAACGTATCCCAGAAATTCCGGAACCCCCTTCCTTTACTGAATGTGTCCTTTCATTCTTTGGGGATGTACTAGGCCTTTGACGATCAATAAGGGATGACATGCCTAGGCATCATATACTCCATCTTTTACACAGTCGCTACTTGCCAAGGCAGTTGGCAAAAGAGCCTGCAGAGCGAGAGCCTCTTGAAGAGAAGTTGGAGGTATTAAAGAATTTCAAATATTCAGCAACAGAACTTGATTTGGGAGGAATTAAATTTCTGAAAGGTAATAACATGGACATATTTGACTTGAAGTTCACGTCTTATCATAGTTTTTTTTTTTTGTTTTGTTTTCATAGAAGAGGCCAGCTCAAGATTCCATCTTTCACCGTTAACGATCACACTGAGTTGTACTTGAGAAACTTCATTGCTTTTGAGCAATCTTGCCATTTCGTGGTTAAGAGTTACTTTACATCACATGCTATCCTAATGGATAAACTCATCAACGCCGCCGAGGATGTACAATTGCTGGAGAAGACGGGGATAATAAGTAACAACATGGGTTCTCGTGAAGAAGTGGCACATCTCTTCAACAATCTTTGCAAGAATGTTGCTCCACTTGGTCTCTGCTCAACTAAGGACTGCCTTGAGTCATTAATTTTCACAAGCGAAGCTGGCCCAAATTTCTAGTAAAACTGAGACGTGATTATTTTAGTAATCCATGGGCAGTCATATCAGTAATTGCTGCCTTCATCCTTTTTATCCTTACCCTGATGCAGACCATCTTCACAGCGCGTTCTTAAATTGTAAGACGTTAAGTATGCATGGTCTATCCAAGTACGTCTCGTATGTTATATGGAATAATTTATATTGTCTTATACGTCAATTGCTTGGGGTTTGTCCAGCTCTTGGTTTAAAGTTGTCCTCTGTTTGTCCAGCTCTGGTTTAAAGTTGTCAATTGCCTAGTGTGTGGCTTTGTTTGGCTGTTTTTCTTCGTTTTGATTTGTAAACCTTTGCAGCCCTGATCGGCTGCTTTCTAATAAAATTCTTAGTTATCAAAATGCATATATGAGCAATAGTTATTATGATTGAAAAGCATACAAACATTCCTCATTACCAGTTATACAAGTCAATTTATATGTGATGTTTGTTAATTAGCACCTCAACTTGGGGACCACTAATATCTGTCATTGAAAGAAAAGATGTTGAATAATGCTACAATGCAATTAATGAATTTAGATTTGTTTTGTGACTCTAATT